TGGGTTGTTTCCAACTCCTTGCTATTGTGAACAGAGCCACGATAAACATGGGTGTGCATATATCTGCTTGGATGTCAGTTATGGTCTTTTTGGGATATAGTCCCAGTAGTGGAATTGCTGGGTCAAATGGTATCTCTATTTGCACCTTTTTGAGAAAGCGCCATACCGCCTTCCAAAAGTGGTTGCACCATTTGTTGGGTTTCTTGAGATTATTGCTTCCGGTGTTTATATGAAAAAAGCCCCCATGAGTATTTGATATCAAACCAGTGAGCAGGTGAGAGGTCAGAATACAGGGCATCCAAATGTCCAACTACAATGGAACGGATTGAGAAACTGTGGTACATTCATACAATGGAAGACTGTATAGCACTCAGGAGCAGTGATTTAGAAGACTCCTATATAACTTGGGAGGAACTGGAGAGCGTTATGCTGAGTGAACTCAATCTCATAAGGACAAATACTGTAGAAGACCATTATTGTAGAAGGATAACTAGTAAAATGTGTATGAGGATCCAAGGCGGGAGTGAGGATGGGCAGGGGAGAACTCATAGGGTTGCACAATTTGGTGAATAGAGGGAGGGGTGGGAAAAGAAATGGGCAAGATCTAGCAGTTATCTGGAAAGACAGATGGTGGGCATAGTTCAATCTTGATTAATTTTATAAAATATAATGAATGGGAATGATTGTATGAAACAACGTATAAAAACTTGGTAAGCAACCCAATAGAACTTAAAAAATGTTTTAATTGAAATTTTTTACATTTCCACCTCATTTATATTTTATTATCCAATATTTTGTATTTGTTGTTGTTGTTAAGTGCCGTCGAGTCATAGGCGACTCATAGAGACCTTATGAACGAAAGTCCTGGACACCTCTTGTATAACTTTCGTCCTTTCTCCAGGTTCATAGGGTTTCCAGAGGCAAGCTATTATAGAAGTGGATGCTACCCCTGCTTCCAAGCTTGTTTTAATCGGGGAGCTCCACCAAACTGTCCACCATGGGGAACCATTCTTGCATTTAACTCATCAGCATCACAGTGTTCAGCTTCTCAGCAACCAACAGTTACCTCTGTACAGCAGGACTTTGTATTTACAATAGAAAAAATCTACTGTACAACTATTCTGCACATTAATAATGAGTGTCTGGCAGTAATACTACTGAGGTGTGAAAGCAAGAGTAATGCTGGCTGTGATGGTTATGTGTCAACTTGTCTGGGTTACAATGCTCAGTGTTTTGATGTTTTTATTTATTTTTTTATGTTAATGAAATTTTATAAGGAACTTGGATTTCCATTCATTCATTGTTGAATATTTTTCTCCCTGTCCTCTCTCCTTCCCAGTTCACTTTTTCCTTTGGGGAAAAAAAAATTCTTTCATTGTTATACGGTTCCACCACCACCACTTTAATATGCAACTCTTATTCTCAACTCTTGTCATGCTAGTAATACCTAATTATATATTCCTTTTATACAGTTTTCTCTCTCAGTCTGTTTCAATGCCATGTGCTTTATTTATCCCCTCTTCTCCTAGTTTCCCCCTAACCCCCGTGTCAGTCCTGTTTTAGAACAGTGGCATTATGCAGTATTTGTCCTTTTGTGACTGAGATTATTTCACTCAGCATAATGTCCTCCAGGGTCACCCATGTTGTATATTTCTTTAGTTCCTTGTTTTTCAATTCAGCATACTAGTATTCCATTGTGTGAAATGTATCACAGCTTCTCTATCCATTCATTTGTTGACAGGCACTTGGGTTATTTCCAACTCTTTGCTAGTGTGAACAAAGCAGCAATAATCATGGGTGTGCATATATCTGCTTGGGTGGCAGTTCTGGTTTCTTTAGGGTATATTCCAAGTAGTGGAACTGCTGGGTCAAATGGTATTTCTATTGGCAACTTTTTGAGAAAGTGCCATACAACCTTCCATAGTGGTTGCACCATTTTAGACTCCCACCAAGAGAGACTAAGGATTCCAGTTTCTCCACAACCTCACCAACATTTGTTTGCTGCTGTTAAATGTTCCTATTGTTATTGGGGTGAGGTGATAGTTATTTTGTTATTGTAATTGAAATTTTAATGAGTTTATCTAGAACTTTGATTTCCATTCATTGTTGCACAATTTCCCCACCCTCCCCAAGTCCTCTTTGCTATGCAGCTCTTATTCTGGACTCTTGTCATGCAAATAATCCCTAATCATATAGCAAGGATTCTGAAGCTTCATCTGACCTACTTTGGGCATGTTGCAAGGAGGGACCAGTCCTTGGAGAGCGATGTCATGCTTGGGAATGTGGAGGGACAGTGCAGGAGAGGAAGATCCTTGATGAGGTAGACTGACTCAGTGACTGGGGTAATGGGAGTAGGTGTGTCAGACAGTAAGACTGGCACAAGATAAAGAGCAGGGTTTAAAACTATTTTATATAGGGGCACTGAGTCGCAACTTGATGCCACCTAATAGCAATAATATATTCCTTTTAAACAATTCTTTCCCTCATGTTTCCATGCAGTGTACAGTATTTACCCCCCTTTCCTTAGTTTCCCCCCAACTCCTGTGTCAGTCCTGTTTTATAACAGTGGCATTATGCAGTATTTGTCCTTTTGTGACCGAGATATTTCACTTGGCATAATGTCCTCCAGGGTCACCCATTTTGTCTATTTCGTGAGTTCCTTGTTTTTCAGTGCTGTGTAGTATTCCATTGTGAATATACCACAGCTTCTCTATCCATTCATTTGTTGATGGGCACTTAGGTTGTTTCCAACTCTTTGCTATTGTGAACAACGCAGCAATGAACATAAGTATGCAAAATTTTTTAAAAATTTGTTTTTTAAAAAAATGCAGGGTATCATCTTTCAGACATCCCTGCCACACACACATACGGAAGAACCACATGCCCACCACGGAAAGTTGTTGGCAATGCTGTTTCCGGTAACATAACCCAAAATATAGTGGAAAATTTCTATAGCCCAATGATAGTGAAGTAATGGCTTACTATTACCAAGCAATGCCTAGTATTTTATTTGAAGCCATAGACTACACTGTATATTGTCTTTTGAGAAATTTTTGGACTTCTAAAATGACATTTTAATAGAAATAACATTGGGTTACTGTTAATGATCCTTGAGCAAAGTTGAGAGCTCTGGTGGCCTAGTGGTGAGGAGTTGAGCTGCAATCCCACCAGCTGCTCCCTGGGATAAAGATGGGGAATGTCGTCTCCAGAAATTCTCTGCCTCTGAAAACCCTCTGGAGCATCAACTATGAGTCAGTTCCAACGCAAGGGCACATCGTAACAACAAAGCGCAAACTTTATAGTTATCTGTCCCAATAGCTGTGTGAAGGTAGGCATTATTTTCCTTACATTTAGAAATCCAGTTCTCCTAAAGGGAACACTGTTTTGCTTTGCAGTTTTGCTTTATGTAACTTTCTTTGTGTTTTCACTAGATCAATCCCTGGTGAATATCCTGATGCTTTTAAAGACATTCAACTGCTTCTTGGAACACTGGCCAGAAGCACTAACTCATTTCTGTTCAAAGAGGGTAATGATTACACCTAGACACTGTAATGAAAAGTTGCAATGCAGTTTATTTTAATGCTTTGAATTTATGAGAGCAAGGTCTTCATTTTACATCAGAAGTTCACCAATACTGAATTTGGAAAGCACAATCAAGGAAAGACTCCAAATTCTACCGAGACCACACAATTTAGCACAGTGATGTTAAAACAGAAGCAGAAAACTGAAGTGCGCGATAAGAAAGTTCTTAAAAACTTAAGGGGACCCATGACATGAATCTTAGACTGTACACCAGAAGATGTGTAATATGTGTGTGCCTGTGCACATATTTTTCTGGGGAGGTCTTTCATAACTGTAATCAAATTCTAAAGGGACCCCCAATGGCTAAGAAACAGCACACAAGAGAATTCTAATTTCCCTCTATGTTTTCAACAATCATGGAAACTGTGGACCTTGAGAAATTGATTTTGTGCATCAAAGAGTATCTTTTAATGGGAAGAGGTAGAACAGAAAACAAAAGGACACTGTGTAAGAATTGGGTGGGGGAAGAACTTTGAAGTGTCAAGGAACAAATTCTGTTTTAGAGAATTAAGAACACATAAGTGGTAACACAAACCAGAAGCAGGGGGACTCCTAGGGGATTTGCAAATGCTTAGAAAACCCAAATTTTTAATAGGAATAAAGCAAATAGCATGAATTTTAAAAGCCATTTCATTCAAGCCCAATTTTCTGATTCAGTATATTCTCAACTAATTTATCTTTCTGAAAATCAAACTTCAATCAGAATTTTAAAAATATTAATCTGCATGCATTTAACAAATTTGACAAAAGGACAAGTATCCAGTTTATGAGAATTAGAACTATGAACTCATAAAGGAACAATAATTAACACGTATTTAAAATTTAGGACAGGTAGTGATGAAAATATCAGTGATTAATCTGCTGGCATCCTACCACTATGCACCTGTCCATGTGATACTACTAGTAATTACCCTGAAGCAGGAGCGATGCTGACCAAGTTATCTCCCGACAAAGCAAGTCGAAGGGATTAAATCTCCTCCTCCTCCTCATCATCATCACTACTCAGGACAAAGCTGCTGCCTGTGGACAGGGGCCCTTCTTCCTGATGATTCCCCAAATCACCCTGAGCCCCCCTCTCGTAAGGCTCAAACAACTTGTCACAGGAATCCTCCTCAAACAACTTGTCGGAATCTTCTTCTTCAAACAGCTTTTCAACTACATCACCATCTTCTTTTTCATCTGAATCTTCAAATAGTTTTTCCTCGGCTTCATCTTCTTCCTTTTCATCAGCATCTTCAAGCTCCTTTCCGCTTCTTCCATCCTCATTCTCATCTGACTCTTCATCGAATACTTTATCATCGGTGTCCTCCTCCTCCTCTTCCTTTTCGTCTGAATCTTCAGACTCTCTCTCAGAACCTTCCTCCTCCTCAGATTCTTTTTCAGAGCCATCATCTTCAAATTCGGATTTTTCAAAGTCTTCCATTTCTTTCCTGAGAATATTTTCCAACTCCTTCTCTGAGTCATCCTCGTCAGCTTCTTTTTCAAGCCCATTTGCTTCACATGCTTTTCCAGACTCTTCATCGCACTGCTTTTCTGGGGGAGTTTCTTCAGATTCTGAGTTGTCTTCAGATTCTTTCTTTGAGTCACCCTCGTCTTCAGAATGCTTTTCAGGGCTATCTTCTTTAGACTCTTTCTCAAGGCTGCTCTCTTCTTCACTATCTTTTTTCAGTTTCTTCTTGCTCCGCTCTCTTTTGGAGCCACTGTCTTCAGGCTCTTTTCTGGGACTGCCTTCTGCAGTGTCCCCAGCAGGGCAGCCTGGTTTGGACTCTTTGTTGGGGCAGCCTTCTTCACATTTTTCAGTGGAGTCACCTTCGTAAGCACCTTTTCCAGAAGCTTCTTCTTCACATTCTCTGTCTGCAGGTTTTTCAGCCTTCTTTTCCTCCACATGTGCTTCAGATGCCACTGACACTGTGGCTTCTGGAGCATTCATCTGAGATGTGCCTGCACGTTCTGAAAAATGCCTCTCTCTAGAAGGCCCTGCTCTTTCTGGAACACCGGGCTGATTTGAAACCCGAGGCCCTCTGCTGCCTTCAGGTGCATTGAGGAAAGCCTCCCATCCTCTCAGCCTTTCTTCTCTCTCTCTTGTGGTCTCCTCCACCTGTGTGTAAATGAACACAGCCATTAAAATAAGTTGCATGCAAAAAGAAGTTAACATTTTCTAAGCATTTATAATATTGTGTGGCTAATGTCCTAATTTTATTAGGCATCTCTTCCTATTGTTGTGTCTGCCTTTTAGTCCCTTGTGACTCACAGTGACCCTAAATACAGCAGCTCTGAACCCTGCTCTATCCTGAGTGAACCTTGTTGTCTCTGACATACTTTCTCCCAATCTCCCCCCCAAGCCCATCACTGTGTGTTGATCCATTTCATGAAGAGTCTTCCTCCCATATGCTGTCCCTCCACCCTCCCAAGAATGATGTTCCTCTCTAAGGACTGGTTCCTCCTGGCAACATGCCCTAAGTATGTCAGACTTAGCTTTATGTTTCTTGGAAATAATAAAAAATTTTTAAAATATTCACTTAAAATTTTTTTTAAATAAAAAACAATTTGTAATCTTTAGCTTTCAAATCTTTACATCTTGATTTACTAGCATAGACTTCACATAAAGACCATTTTAAAAACAAAAGTACCACGGAACTGCAGAAATATTTCCTTTCTCAGAAAGTTAACATTTGTACTTTGACCCTTATAACAGAGAAAGGAAGACAAAAACGGTTTGATTCAATATAGTAATTTATGCAAGCCTCAAAATTTCAGAGTTATAAATTGAAATAAAGACTCAGTCTTCTTTCGAAATACAGGGTGTTATTTAAGATAGGTATCATGACATTACACAGATTAAAGTGAACTAAAAACTGTGAAAGGCTGTTAGGTGATGAAAAAAAAATAATAATAATTATTATTCATATGCCTTCGCAGTTCTAAACTTTACCTGATAATCTGTTGTGCCATCCCATGCTTCAGCAGTGATTTGACGGCCACCAAACCACCTCCCGTCGAGGGTCTGAATGCAACAATCTGCTTCCTCTGGATCCCTGAAGGACACAGAGGCCACCCCATCTGGATGTCTCTAGACAGACAGGGAGAAGGAAAATGAGGGAATAAATGAAAAGGTTACGAAGAAAACACATATTTGATACAAAAGAGAAATTATAGTCTTTTACTGATAACTTGAGCTGAATAATTTTGTGTATGAAGTCTTTCCTCCTTTCTACCCTAGCATCAACATATGGCTAGCTGCTTCTTTAGCTTCATCTTGTTCAGCAAAAAGTAAACACGACACCTCTGGAAATACTTCTGCTGATAATCCTGTCTGAGAGGTGACACAGCATGACTGCCAACTGTGTTCTCTGAAGTCAGACAGTCTTGGAATTAAATCCCGGCTCTGATACTTCCAGCTGAAAGACATTAGGCAAAGTGTTCAATCTTTTCGGTGTCTCATTTGTAAAATAGCACCTACCTACATAATCAGGCTGCTAAAAGAAAGATTAGCAGTTCAAATCCACCAGCCACTCAGCGGGAAAAGATAGGCAGTCTCCTCCCATAATGATTTACAGTCGCAGAAGCCATGAGCTGGAATGGACTCCAGGGTAGTTGGTTTGGTGTTTACCTCCAAGGCTTGTGAGGCTTAAGTGAGGTAACAGGTCAAACAGCTTACAGCACGTAGCCGGTACACGTGGGTCTCTCCATGATTACATGTCAATGCGATAGGTAAAAAAGAGTGGAAAGGAGGATACACAGAATATTTCTCCTAATCTTCAATTCACAAAAGAGGAGAAAACATGTGCAAATAGGAAACAATGAAGCCTTATGTGTAATACTTGTCCTTTCTTCTACCTGAACAAGTACTCTACAACAATGATGAAGGAAAATCCATCAAGGTAGAGCAAGTCTATCCTGACCATCTAGTTATTACAAACAGGTGATGACCACTAGCCAGGAGATCTCCTAGAGAAAAACATTAAGATTTGGGAACACACTAATGAATGCTTGACAACTTGTTAAACCAATGACAGCTTTTGTCATTTTCTGATTTAATTGTCTAAACCATGAACTTACATCAAAGAGAATGATCCTCTTAATTTGGCCAAACTTTGAACACTCTACTCGAAGGTCGTCTCTGATTTCATTTAACACCAATGGATCATCCTGCAAAAAAAATCCACATGATTTAAAGGGATTTGCCCCTACCTTTAAGTACAAATCCCAGGTCTCAATTTGCTTGCTTTGATAAACTGACACGTGTAAAAAGGCATCACTTAAAGTTATACCTTCCAGTTATCTATGGTCAACTGATATTTGACAAGAAAATAAAACCTATCAAATGGGGAAATGACAACCTCATCAACAAATGGTGCTGGCAAAACGGGACTGCTACCTGCAGAAAGCAGAAACAGGATCCATATCTCACTCCAGACACAAAAATCAACTCAAGGTGGATAAGAAAACTGGGAGTAAAGCCCAAAACCATAAAGCTCATCACAGACAACCTGGGACCAAGCTTACACAGTCTAGTCTATGGTATAAAGAGACTCCTAAATACAGCCAGAAATGCACAGTCTGGAGAGGATAAATTTGATGAATGAGACCTTTTAAAGATTAAATCCCTGTGCACATCAAAACCTTTTCCCAACAGGGTGAAAAGAAAACCTATTGACTAGGCAAAAACATCTGGCTATGCCATTTCAGACAAGGGTCTCATATCAAAAGTTTATAGAATTCAACAGGGTCTCCACAAGAAAAACAGGTTAACACAATTACAAAATGGACAAATGACATGGAGGAAGACATTCCAATGGCCAACAGACACAAAATCACTGACAATAAGAGAGATGCAAATCAAAACCACAAAGAGATACCATCTCACTCTAGTAGCAGTGGCAAAGTTTAACAGGACAGCAAGTAGTAAATGTTAGAGAAGATGTGATGAAATAGAAAGTGTTAGACATTGTTGGTGGGATTGTACAATGATATAACCAGTCAGGAAGGCAGTTCGGTGTTTCTTCAAAATGCTGAACATAGAATTCCATATGACCCAGCTTGGATTCCACTGCTTGGAATATAGGAGAACTGAGACACAAACGGAAACTTGTACACCAATGTTCACAGCAGCGTTATTCACCATCGCAGTAACATGGAAACAGTCCGAATATCCAACCACAACTGAATGGATTGAGAAATTATGGTACATTCACGTGATGGAATATTATGCAACACTCAGGAGCAAAGAGTTAGTAAATTACTACTTAACTTGGAAGGCACTGGAAATCATTATACTAAATGAGCTAACTCAGTCCCATAATGACAAATACTGTATAAGACCATTATTGTAGAACGAGTATGAGGATCCAAGAGGGGGAGGGGAGGAGAAGGGGACGGATTTGATGGGTGGAGGGTGAAAGAAATGGGAAAGATCCAGTATGAAAAACAATGTATATGAAATAAAGTAATATAAAATAAAAAAAGGGAAAAAAATATAAAGTTAGTCATACTTGTCTGCAATGTATAACATTAAAATTTTTTTCTTCACTATCAAATTATTGATACTGTGTGGGCTGCTGCTAATACTACACGCCCACTCTGCTTTATCACTACTCCTCTGTCACTTACCTGTACTGTGGTGGCTAGCACATTGTTGTGACACTAGCAGCTATGTTACCGGTATAAATCACCAATAGGGACACTCATGATGGACAGTTTTCAGCGGAGCTTCCCTACTAAGAAGCAGGATTGGCCATCCACTCCTGAAGTAACAGGTCTTTGGACAATGGAATTCTATGGACAATTCTAAGGGCAGCGTTGAGTTCTAATTGGATATATGCTAATTGGCAAATACATTTGTCTTGGCTTTAAAATATACAACAAAAATGGGGGAAAATAATTTTAGCCTTACTCAAAATCACGCATACATTCAACTATTATAAAGCATCTTAAAAACCCCACAAACAAAAAAACCCACAATACATTCTGGGATACAAACCACAATAAACACTTGCTGTAAGTTAAATGTATACTTTTGAATATGTTTAACAGTTATGCATAAAAATCTACATAAAAATAATACCAAAAGGGAAAAGTGCTACCCTTAGAACACAAATATTAGTCACAAGTAACCATGAACAGGTGACTTTTATATAAAATTTAGTTTCTAAGATGCATTAGAAGTAACTCCCTATTTAATACAGGAAAATGTACTTGGTTGGTACAGAATACTATCATGTGTTATTACTAGATAATGATTTCTGTTCATTTACCACAGATTCCCTGTAGAGTCTGGCTTGGTATTTGGCAGAATTCATTATTTTTTAAGTCTAATTATCTTTCTAAAAGCCTAATATAAAATGGTTAGCCTAGAAGGCCATCAGGTCCCCATGTAATTCCAGCCAAATAAGGGAGTTTTGTTGTACTTTCCCCATGTTATTTAATTTTTGATTCCCATCTGTGGATATATAACCAAACTCAGGTCGGGTGGTTTTATGGAGATAATAATTATAGACAATATTATATAATTAATTTTACATAATAGATGACAATCTTGTGAGAAAATATGTTTAAACATTATAAATGATTTCACTTCATAATATAAAAGTTTTACAGTTAATAGTCATGTTAACTTTGGGTGCAATTCTTTAGTAGTTTTAGCTTTAGTTATAAATAACTGGATCTTTCTGCTGACAACCTAGGTTGTATGAGTTATGCTTAAAAGCAGATTTACCTGCCACACTATGTTAGAATGTGTCCTTCAAACATTTCCTCCTGTAACTTCTCAACTGTACTAAGTTAATATTTCTTGAAGTCTAACTCTGTGCTAAGAGATCTTAAATAGGATTTTAAATACAGTTTTAATTTTTTATAAGCTGGTGAATTTTAAAGAGAGGAGGTTTTTTTTGCCACCAAATATTTTGGATCATGCAGAGAATATATACTGCACTGTAGTAATTTTTATGATGTGACAGATGTGAATGTAAATCACTGCTTGACTATGTTAGTAAAGTTGTTTAACTATAAAAAAGAAATGAAATGGAATGCATGAAGATTGACATTCTAGGGTAAAAGAGACTGGTACTGGTCATTTTTAATTAGACAATCACATGATCTTCTATGCCAGAAATGACGACAAACTGAAATGATGTGACATTTATCATCACAACCAGCATTTCAAGATCTATCATGAAGTACAAAGCTGTGAGTGATAGGACACTATGCATACACATACAAGAACGCCTGTTATTATAAACATTATTCAAATATATGCATCAAGATAAAACTAGCAATAAAGAAACTGAGGATGTCTACTAACTTTGCAGCCTGAAGTTTACTGAACATGCATCAGGATGCATTAATAATAATCAGTGACTTGAATAAAAAAATTGGAAACAGAAGAGGACTGGTAGAAAATATGGTCTTGGTTACAGAAACAAGGCTAGAGATTTAAAGAAAGAATTTTGTACAATCAAATGCTTTATTGATTACAAAGAATTTTTTTATTATACAAAAACCTAAACAGGGAATAGATACAACCCTGGACATGCTAGACAGTCAATGCCAACAAATATGGAAGACAACTGGCCAAATGACTGGAAGAGACCTTGATTTTTGTTCCCTTTTGCAAGAAGGATTCTAAGATGATTTTTTTTACGTTTCCAAGACTGTATTTTAATTCACAGGGTTGCTGTCTCCATCATGTAACAATAGAATCACTCACTCAGGAGCTGTTGTTTACAACACGGAAGATACATGCTTAGTGCTATCCCAAAATGATGAGCATAGTATGGACACTCTGGTGCTGTGGTGGGCTTGGCTTCAGGTGGACCCCCTACCAGCACACAGCAAAAGGACTGAAAATTTCCTATGGAAATTAGCAAACAAGCACTTCTGCAAGCCCCTATTCAGGAAAAGGTTCATAAAAAGTTACATTACATTTCAACTATAAATAAAAAGAAATTAATTTCTACTGAAGTGAATGTAAAGACTTTCTATGAGACAATTCAACTCATCTACTTTTCTCACAGGGAGCTCTGATGGCCTAGTGGTTAAGGAGTTGCATTATCAACACAAAGGCAGGCAGTTTGAATCCACCAGCTGCTCTGAGGGTGAAAGAGCAACCTCCTGTGTGATTTATTGCTTCAGAAAACCCCACTGGAGGGTCAGGTACCTCCCGTATGATTTACTGCCTCGGAAAACCTGCTGGAGGGACAGCTATGTCCCACGTGATTTACTGCCTCAGAAAACTCACTGGAGGGTCAACTACCTCCCATGTGATGAACTGCCTTGGAAAACCCGCTGGAGGGACAGCTAGGAGTCAGTCTGGATTCTACTGACAAAGTGACTGCAGCCCTGGGTTCAAGTGTGTCAGAGATGATAAGGATGGCACAGGATAGGACAGAGTTCAATAGGGTTGTTGTTCATAGGATCACTATGAGTAGTCCTCAACTTGACGGCACCTATTTTACCTCATAGCATTTTGTCTCGCACATGCCAACTAAAGGAAAATGGCTAAGAACAACATAAAAGAAGCTTTCTCCTCATCCAACAGAGTTCTTGCCAAGAAGATAACAGTTACTGAAAAAAAAAATAAACAAAAAATTCTAAAATCCTACTCATTTGCATAAATCTGCGATTACCAAAACTGCAGCCGGCAGGGCTCTGGACTTCCTCCCACCCACCGAGTCTAACTTTGGAGAAGATGACTTTTTAAAAGGAATAAGAATTACCAGACAAGAGAGGAATGGGGTCTTCGGTCAAAATCACATGGTGAGGTCCATGTGTGAAGTTGTGTTGGGTTTTTTTTTTTTTAAAAAAAAAGGTATTTGCTATGAATAAATCATTGAATGTACAAAATTCAATTATTTTACATCCAGTCTCATTTCCGTCACCAATCCTTTACTGAATATAGTAGCCACTGAATACGGTAGCCATTCTAATTAACATTTAAATAATTACATGTGGCTAGAGGATATACTATATTAGACAACACATTTTGAGGTCCATGTCACAAGAATATGGAATAAATAGCAAAAGTGTGTCTAGTCCATACTGATAACAGGTTCTTAATTAGCTAATAAGACCAAGTGAGAATAGCCCAATGGGTAAATAGGTACAGTACAACCAATGATTTATTTGGTTGTAAATTCTCAAACTTTTAATGCGACAAAGTGTACCCTCCCATCCTTTGTGGCCTAACTGGGGGTGAGAGGAAGAGAGAAATCCAGAGAATTTTTATTCATTTGTAAAGATGCTAAAGGGAAAATGTTTTATCCATTGGGTGAATGAAAGAGACTGTGGTTTATGATTAACGGGGGTTTCATTCAAGCATTTGTTTTCTTCATAAAAATACTGACAGTCTGAAGGCCTACTATATGCCAACTAAAATTCCAAGCACTGGAAATGTACCTGTGATCAAGGGGAACAAAGATCATTTATAAACCTGGAATTGGATATCATGTCTATTTTTTCTCATAATACAAACTGCTCTCACTAAATTCTAGAATCCAGAAAGGAAATAAAAATTTGTTTTTCTACTAATGATCTTAGCAGTCTATGTCAAGACAGAGATAAATACAGGGCAGAATACAATTAACTTAAAGGAAATTAATGTCCTTTAAGCCTTTCTATCAGCTCTTCTTCCTTTATTGACTGTTCTAGAGATTCTTCACATAGACATTAATTATCACAAACCCTATTAAGATGTGACTGTGGACTGTTAAAAGCCATGTCCAAAAAGCTACACTGAATAAGTAAACATCAGGGGCTGTATTTCATTAAGCTAAGGGTTTTTAAAGTTGTTAGACTGTTTAATATTATTAACTTTTATTTAAATTTTTTATTTGAGTGTAAGTTTGCAGAGGACTGGTCTTTAGTACAACCATTCATACATATTTTATTTGGGACTTTTATTGTGGGACCATTTATTTATTTGATTCAAAGTTTAAAAATCATCCTGATGTTTCATCCAGTCATTAACATTTTGTTTGATAACATCAGTTACAACTGGCTAACGTAGTTTATTAGTTATAATGTCTAATCAACCCCTTATTGTATATTGCCTTTTCCTTAATTCAGCTTACCTATTTATTCCTTTTAATTCCCCTCTCGGCCTCCCTTCCCAACTCTGTGAACCCTCCAAGACTGAGTCTATCTGTGTGTAAATCTTTCCTTAGCGTTATATGAATGGTTTTATAGTTGTTCTTTTGTGACTGACATACTGCTTAGCATTATTTGTTCCAGATTCACACATGTTGTGTAGTATTTCACAAATTGTCGATCATTATAAAGTGATGCATAATACTTAAGCTAAGGATTTTAAAGGATCAAACTGCTACAGTTCAGTTTTCATTTGTAAGTGTAAAATTTGTGCTGGCCACCAAAACTGGCCCAGGCTTAAAATCCATAAGCAACTCCCATGAGTCTTTTAATGATGATACTGAAAAAATTCTTTCCCATGCCAGACAGGTACTATTGGTGGGGGGGGGGGTGTCGCAGTATGGACAGTAAACAGTTTTATCTGGGATATTAAGAATAAGAATACACAGTGGTCACATTCTCTATGAGAGAATGTGACATGGGGAAGATGAGATGAGGCAAGCTCTGGCTCCCTTGAAAGGAAGGACCTCAGTGTTTCTACTGGTAAGAACACAGATTCCTACCTCAAAATCTTCAGGATGAAACATGTTTTTGAGGATGACGACTCTCTCGTGGCGCATTCTTGATGGGCCAGCTTTCCTCTCAGGTCTCCAATCCAATTGCCTAATGTGAAAAAAGGTGAGATGAAACTGACTTTTGTTTCAGTATAGGTTCAGCTGCTGGTCAAAATGTTAGTGGTTCAAAATACAAGCTACCCCACGAGAGAAAGATAAGGCAGGCTGCTTCAGTAGAGATTTAAAGCCTAGGAAACTTTACGAGTCAGAATTATGGCTGCGAGTGGTGATGGCAATTGGAGAAAGAGAAAAAAAAAAGTTTCCAATATAATCTTTATTGGGTATTTAATGATAATGGGCTCAGGGCCCAGGATCTGAAATTCCCAGAATATATTGTTTTCAGAGCAACTGCGATCTAATTGTAACTATTCCAATGAGACACCCGATCATTACTTTACTTGGCATTACTAGCTATCTAGATAGGTTTAGATATCTAGATATAATAAAATACACTTGGAGACTAAAACATTTTTTTGAATATATTGAGTTTTAGGCAATTTATACAGTTATAAAGAAGCACACTGAAATAAATGTGAAATATGAACACTTTTTTTGTATTTATTTTAAGTACTCGCACAAAACCTTGAGGGGGCATCATACCATCTTACTAATAGTTTAGGGACAGTGTAGAAGTATCATTCATTAGAATGCATCCTGATCATCAAAGTACTTGCCATTTTGGGTAATTTCTTAAAACTAACTCATAAAATTTATCACAAATCTATTAATAATTTAAATGAGTATATAAACCATATAGGCCAAACTCATCCTTTCTAATATCTAACTTCTACTAACAAACTTGTATGCCAAAATTTTGCTCTTAATGCAGTTTATTTCAATGTACATTGAAAAGAAACTAATGATGAATCTATGTACAAAACTAAACTTTGTGTTTTAAGCTGATTTCCCTGATGTAAAACAAAGAGCATTTTCCAAAGAGCTATCATCTCTTAAATCCCTGTTTCTGTAAAAATCGCCATATAAAATAGAAACCACCAACACTGCCAAGTCACCCTATTGTATGTGTTACCAAACCCACCAATTATCAAATAAAATTCTCTCAGAATAATTTATAGGCACATCTGAAAAGGCAAAATTTGGTGGCTGTTACCAGAAATATATTCCAGGACACTCATATGGAACTTTTCAAAGAAGAAAAGCAAATTACATACTTCTGTTGCATAGACAGCTTCTTCTTGTAGTCTTTGCACTTCTTCTTCTTCTTTGAGGCATCATATTCCCCTTTCAGTTGAAACTGTGCCACCTCGACATGTAATTTGTAGCCTCTAATTTCATCTTCATCCAAGAGTTTTAATGCAAGATCCACAGATTCTCTCTTTATAAAGGTAAAAAAAGAAAATATAGTCAATAAGTTACACCCTAAAATGAAACTTCAGGGGTCTCTTAAGATGACTCTGGACCACATACAGGAGAGTTTTGGTGGCCAGGTAGTAAGGAGCTGCATTGCCAAATCAAAGGTATGTGAATCAAATTCAGCAGCTGCTCCATGGGAGAAAGATGGGTAATCTCCTGTGCAATTTATAGCCTCTGAAAACCAGCTGGAGGGTGAGCTAGGAGTAGATGCTAACTCAACATTATATAACAACAAAAACAACAACATGACTATATACACAAAGAAGATTCAAATACAATTACCTACTTGAGATAAAGAATTCTCAAAAGACAATCAAAGCTCCTGCATTTGAGACAGAGTTGTTGTTCCCAACCAACTATATGAATTTGGGCAAGGCCCTCAAGGTCTCTTAAGCCCTGACTTTCCCACGGACAAAATGGAAAAAGTCATGTTTTCATCACCAGGTTCCTCAGAGAATTGAACAGAATAATGCAGGTACTGACTGGTAGATGGGCAGGTGTTCAACAAAATAAGCTATTATCAGAAAAGAAACTTTACCTCTTCACCCTCAGTTTCCCATCTGCTGGATGAGGCAAATGGGCCTGCATGATGTCTAAGGGCCATTCTAGTCTAAAAACTATTAATACCCTTAACTTTAAAAATTATGTGACTCTGAGAAAAACTGGATGAACTGTGTATACTGCACTGAAACAGATGAGGGAATGAATAATTTAAAAGCGATGTATGATAGGGTATTATTGTTATCACAAGAGTCCACAATTAAGGTTGCATAGTGGAATGTACTTGGGGCGGTGGGAGGGGTGCGGGGGGATTGTGTACCAGGGAGGGAGTCTT